TTTTTCTTTTTTAGTAAATGGTCATTCTACGCTGAGAGTCCGATAGGCGAGTCTCTCCTTCTCTTTCTCTCGTTTTCACTCATTCTCTCTCTCTTATTCACACGCACACGTACACAGACACACACTCTCTCTCATTCTTTCTCTATGAGAGAAATACTAAAAGTTATATGGCAGTATGCGAGTCAGCAAAATTTCGTAGACCAGCGATTCTCAGCTTTCACTTAAGTTTATCTTCATTGTCAATTCTTTCTACTTTAATATGCGCCGTTGTTCATTGTAATCTCCGTCACTAATTTGTTTCAGATCGTAAACTGAAAAAATGTCGATGAGTCGTCTACGAATGATCAGAAGGAATATCGAGAATTACGGCAGTGTACGACATCTAAATAATCATATTATAATTTTAAGAAAGACTCGCCCAGACCGACAGCCTCTGTAGAGTTAAAATGCCAACAAGAAAATACTTTAGTTTACTCATTTAAGTCGCTACTCATTAAGACAATCTACTAAAGTTTTATAGCACTTTTTTTTCCATTTTTTTTCTTCTTTTTTTTTAATCAACATACTCTATCAGTATTATCAATGTACGTAACAACATGAACAGATAAAGAGATTTCGCTTTTTCCTCATAAGAGAATCTCTTTTTTGTGTTACACTTTAATTATCTCCGGAGACACTGTGTCTATATATATATACTTTTTTTTCCTTTATATATATATATATTTTTTTTTTGTTTTACTGTTTGTCGGATTTTTTTTTCTCTTCTACAAATTGACCTATAAATCTGATATTGCTTAAATCAACCAAAGCCCCTCAGAGGCAACGATCCCCGAAGCTTTTTATGGCTCGCTTTTGCAAGAACTCTATCTCTCTCTCTTTATGAAAGGTTAGGTGAAGTAGACAGTCATCTATCAAGGGGGATGAAGGTCGCGATGATGAGCTCTGGCACTTAAAATCGCTTTCAATTCGGACTCTAACTGCTTTTTAGTTCGTTCGCTTACCGATCGGCCTCCTACTACCGGTTGGGCGGTGAGTCTCGGTGAGGGTAGATCAGCCATCAACTTGCCCGTGTCTCTGTTCTCATGGCTCCTGGCTCTTCTTATAGGTTTCTTGATGGGCAGAGCGTCGTCCTGGATCTTCTCGTGAGACGGCCGCCCCAGGGATAACGTCATCTCCGGGTTCAGTGTGTAGGAACAGCCGCCAGCGACCGTCTCGGAAGATCTGCTGATGTCCAGAGTCCCGGATCCCCATTCACGGGACAGCTTCCGTCCGATGGCGGATGTTAGTTCGTTATTAGGAGACAGCAATGGGCTCTTGGACATTTGGTAACTGGACGAGTGCGGTGGCCTCAATGTGGCAAACACTGGGAATGATTGTCCTCGTTTTGCTGGACTCCTCGCGTATCTGGGTGTGTGCACACTTCCTCCGGTGGACTCGCCTCTGACCGTTGGTGTTGTACTTCCGGTGGAGTCGCTCTTGGTCGGTGCCAAGGGTCTCAGCGTCGCGCTACCACCGAAATTCGAGCCCAGACGCGGTGGTGGTGATCCACCGTCACCGTGGCTTAAACGACGACCCACCGTTTCCAGAGGACTCCTTGCCCTGAGGTTGGTGCTGCTCAGAGTGAATTCTCTAGGCTTCATAGGAGCCTCCAGACTGATCGGTGACAATCCCAGCCTGGAACTGGACAAGTTGATGGAACTTCTGCTCTTCTCTGATCTCTTTGGACTGCGAGGCATCAGAGGGCTCTTGCTCTTGCTTCGTTCCCTTCCCTTTACAGCTTTCTCTTCTTTCTCTTTCACCTTCTCTTGCTCCTCCGACACAGTCTCTATCTTCTCCTCCTGTTGGACTCTGTGAAATTGAAACGATTCGCCGATTCAGACCTCTGCATCACGAGCGAATGTGGAATGTCTATTTCTGGATCGGAGTAGTCCTATAGCGTCCACTTTCTTTGGCACTCACCTTCGAATCTCCTGTATCATTTCGAAGAATTGTGCCTTGCTTTTGCGCCTTCGGCGCTGTTCGTGTTCCTTCTGGAACATGGTTACCTTGTAGATATATGAGGAACGTATCGGTCTACCGTGGAAGCAAAATGTCACTTACTCGTTTGACGCTTTTCTGAAACAGGGAGGCAATCTGTCCCTGCCGTACTGTGTGGACCAGTTCTCTGGCAGCGTGGTGTGGCGACACCAGTTCCACGCAGTTGATGAATCTGTAGAGTTTCTGTGAGAAGAACATCACGTTACGGCTGCGCCATATAGAGTCCTCCGGTCTGTGCCTCAATCTGGGCAACGTGTATTTGTAAAACAAGTGTTCCCCAGCTAAAATAATTGTACCAAGGACAACGCCCATCCCCAGGAGACAGAATACGCCGGCGACAGAGGCCACACCCAGTGGTCTGGGTTGCCCACCCTGTTCGTGCTCAATGCCGGCATCCATTCCTTCCCTTCCTCGAATGCAGGGCAAACCACCATACCTGTTTCAACACATTCTGATTCTCACAACCATCCATCTGGTATCTACTTTCCATTTTTTTCTTTTTTTTTTTTTTGTTTCTTTTTTTTTACTCAAAGTAGTTTACCATTTCTCTTGCAGGATATCCAATAGTCCAGTGCTCGTGTAATTGGCTATAACTCTAGATATACTTTCTTTCAAAGGATGGCCCTTGGTGAGGGCAACGGCATACGTGTCTTCGTTTATGGTGTCCCCGATTTTTTGTAGCCGACAACCGTCGTCTATCGCCCGATAGTAATCTAAAATAGGAGTATCAGCTATAAGTATATCTAAACTACCGTTTCGCAATCTCTCCACGCCCTCGGCGATGTTCGACAAGGAATATCTGGCCATGTGAGACCACAACTGCGTGTTTGCTTTCTGTACGTAGTACTCGGCAGCGGATGCCCTTGGCGCGCCAACTTTTTGCAACAGTAACTGAAACAGAGGTATTGTCATTTATCAAGTAGTTCATTCAGAGACAATGAGAAAATTGAAAGAAATCATGTAAAAAAGTATCTGCTTACGCTTTTGTCGTGGTAATTGCTCACTGCGGGGTGGAAGAAGAGGCCCGCGATGAGGGCAGCTATATTAGCCGTGTACGAGGCCACAAATATAACGGAGAAACCGCCCCAAATGTTGATTAAAAACTTGTTAGGCCAAGACTTCGGTGCCTTGAATGCGACTAAATGCCCGCAAAGAAGACCCCACATCACCCACAAAGCAGAGGCTATCGAAAAGTTTTTGCTTCGTTGTCTACCCCATGGGTTCAGGCCAAATGGGCTGAACCATTCATACAGTGCCACTGCTATGGCAGTGAAGTTCAGTGACGTGAAAACGGCGATCCACAGTTCCATGCTGAACGGGAACAGGAAAGCGAACAGCGAGATCTCGGACTTGAGCTTTGGCGCGGTGAGGAAGCTCACACCGCTGAAGTAGTACGGCGTCGTGAAATCGACCACCTCCGCTCGGCGAGCAGACACGCTGAGTGGTGCGAAGGCTAATTGAGCTCGACCGTTCACCAGCTCTCCCATAATCCCGTTCCACGTGCTACCGTTCCTTTTGCCGAACAGGCCGTCGTTCACTAGATACAGGTCGTAACGGAATCCTAATTCGCGCGATACCAGGGACATCAGATCCATGCTTAGACCGTAACAACACATTAGGGTGTCTTCTTGACGACAGTACAGCCCTCTCAGGCAAAGACCCTCTTGCAGATTCGTAACCATGGTGAACGGCGGTGCCAGTGCTGTCACTATGCGATACATCGGCATGCCGATCTTCTCGCCACCTTGTTCCAAATACGCTGGCACGATTCCACCGCCTGGCCAGATTATCGTGTCCAGATGAACCTCTCTCCCACCTTTCACTGTGCCGACTTTGGTCCATCTGCATGGAATGTAACAGAGAAATGTATATTATTTCCAACGCTATTTAGGTTTAGAATGAATCTATAAAAATGAATTTAACTTGTTTAAACACGTGCCTCAATTGAGTCTTGTTCCCAGGGAATCTTATGGCCTGCAAGTTCAGCAAATGGAACTTGGCTTTCTCTTTGGAAAGTTGACTCACCGATGACCGTAATTTCTGAGTCAGAGTCTTGGAAACATTGTGCCTCACTTTGCTCGTCAGGAATTTGGCGTTGCTCTTTGGAAAACACTCCGGTATGAAGTTCTCGTCGAGCTGGGCCTCTCCTAAACGATTTAGCCTCGGCTTCACTTCTAAAAACGTTTCGTCCAACGCCTGAGAGGTCTCCCTGATCATTCTGGATAATATAGGGTCGTTGCCCATTAATTTTATGCCAGAAGGTCTCAACACTAGCATACCAACTGGCATAAAGTCCTTCGAGTTCAAATCTTTGTCCGTTATCCTAATATCGTCGTCGTCGTCGAAATTAAAGCTTCTGTCTTCCTGTTTATTCACAGACCTCTCGCTTTGCCACCTGTACTCTTGCAGTCGATGTATGTCGTTGGCCAAACTGGGCAAAGAATTCAACGACAACTGGCTCTCTGCTACGAGATTCGCGTTTCGGCTTATACTCTGCACGGGTGAAGGATTTTCATTCGTTGCTATCGACGATCTTGAGCTGTGTATAATGTGAGAGCTGATTACATTTGGTTCGGTAGGTCTCAGTTCCGCTTTCAAGTCCAACCAGAGCCACAGAAATCTACCCGCGAGCATCTCGTATTTGCCAGCCACGGTTAAGATTTTTCGCGCGGTGTTCAAGTCTGAAGCCATCACTATGATTCCTCCGCTGCCACCCTCCTCGGCAACTCTCCTCAATCTCATCTTCAAGGTCTTGTCGTTCGTTGGAAGGTGTATAATCGTTCTAGGCGTTAACGTTGTTTGATTCGCGTGTAAAAGATGAGTCATTGGTAGCAAGGTGGTGTCTATGAGGAGAGTGAATGCGTGCCAGTTTGCTCTGTGCATCAAGGCAGCGGCAGCCGCTCCCACTTCCTTCGTACTGGAACCTACTCGACTTTCGTATTGACCGATATTCCCCTGTAAATTCGAATCTCAAATTGATAATAATCGTCAAGTTTAGAGATTTACTTTTTAGAAATATTATAGGCTCGATTATGACTACAACAAACCTGTCTGAGGAAATCCTCGTGAGTGAATGGTAGCCACAAGACTGGAATGTTTAATGAAGCTGCAGCTGTCACGAGAAATTTGGCCGCAGATCCTCCTCCGATGATGAGGCTCAACACGGTCTTCCCACCTTTGACATCGTTGCAGAATTTGTTTAACAATGACAGAGGGTGGGACAGCGAGTCTGTCTTTGGTGGTGCCTCTATGAAAGATACGTTCATATCCGCGTGAGACGACTCCAGCCTCGCCTTCTCCCATGCCTTCTGCACGTCTGTCTTCAGCGAGCTCTGTGGCTGTGTCAGACACAGCATGACACGCCATGCAGCGTAAGATGTTCGAAATCGTCCCTTAATGGCTCTCGCGGATCTGGCAAGATCCGTAGAGCAGAAACAAAAACAGGCACCCAGCAGAAAGAGGAGTAGAATTCTCCAAGGGAAGCCGAACATCTTCTTCGCTTTTCTCTGTTTCTCTCTTCACTTCGTTACGCTTTTGCTCTTAGCTCTTACGACTTACATCATTCGCGTAAGGTTCCAATCTGCAATCGGTTCAAATTGACATTAACGTAACAATTCGATCGTTGATAAAATGTATCTCGTGTAACAATTACGCGTAGCAATTGGGATTCGCGGATAGCGTTAGAAATTAGCCTCACATTGTTGACAATTTTCGATAAAGATGTGTCGCGTTTCTTTGCGCGAATGATACTACAATCAATCCGACTACGTGACACCGAAACGTAGCTCTACTTTCGCAGAAGCCGTTTTTTTCTTTTTTCTTTTTTTCTTACTCTTTTATTTCATACTTTATCTCTAAAATGTTTTTGTGTTACTTGCGCCTACCCCCTTTTCACGTTTCACACTTTACTCGGAAATATAGTGGGATTCTTTTCACAGGCGCGACGTGACAACGAGCACAAGGTTTCAAGCGAGGAAGCTTAACGACCGAATTTTGGAAGTTTGAACGTGCAGAAAGGGAAGGCAAATAAGGGAGATAGTTTACCTTTTCCCGAAGCGAATCATATGTCAGATACGCAGATCTGGGGGTGGGTGACGAGGAGCACGAAGATTGCTTCTTAGCCGCCACATAATAGCTATCGATTAGGTAACCGTATCAATTGTCGTAAAATAATGTCAATTGGTCAATGTGGAAGACAGGGATGAACCGTCACTTGCCCTCTTGTAGTCGTCTTACCCCGTGTATAACAGCCATTTTCGTGCAGCCCCTCCCTTTAAATTTCACCCCTACGGTATACATACTATCCCCTCGCGCAGATACGTGTTACACTACACGTATATATCTATCATGTGCGTCTTTCTGTAAACCATGAGACATTGAACAGTAAGATCAGATTCTTCCTTTTGAATTTTCCAACCTCTCCCAATTCGAATATTAGAATTGCGTTGTTATTTGATTTTCTTTGTCGTTAATGATAATAAAAGACTCGACTTTTAAATGAATAATCTTCGTTTTTTTATTGTACAGGAAGTTACATATTGTGGCGTTCAAAATATTTTATAATATATATTTTTTAAATGTTAGGGTCTTGGTGAGATGGAAAATAGAAGGACGTTGAAACATGGAAGAAACTGTAGTCGGCCGGAAAATATCTTTATATATTTGGAATCTTAATTTACATTTTGCTTTATATACATTTATACGTTATGCCGCAGTTACGCTTAATACATTTATTTCTTTCTTTCTTTTTTCTTTTTTAAGTGATCTTACAAGGCTTCCTTTTTCATATGGTAAAGAGATGCATGTATACAGGTAACTATTCAAATGCAGTTTTCTCTTTTTTTTTTCCAAAAATTTGCATTCTCTATAATCCCATACTTATCTCTTTTTTTCTTTTACTACAGCTAAGATAACATTAGCCGGAATGTTGCAACACGAAGAGTCATGTCTTACAATTAATAATAATATAGTTAATATCTTACAATTAATAGTAATTAATAATATTCTCGGGTCTCTCTTTTCACTAGGAACTACCTTAATTTCGTGGACATAACAAGTGTATAACAGTCAAATCGGAATAATTAACTAAATAGATTTTGTTGTGACGCGTCGTTCTCGAATGTGCTCCATGCATTGTTTAGTTCCATGAAAATTAATTTCGCAATATTTTCGTTCGCTGTTCCTGCTTGCTGCAAAGAATAATAAGAAAACAAAGATCACAATCGACATTCGTTATTCAAATTTATATCAATATTTTGATCGATAGTTTCATGTTTTTTTTAAAATGATACCTTATCGGGATGTACAGCCAAACAAGCTTTCCTGTAAGCTTTCTTCACATCCGCAGGGGAAACCAACTGGTGCATCTCGCACCGTTGCCACCTGTCAGCTTCTGGCCAGAGAACCGTGTGCAACGAGCACAGGAGAGCTCTTAAATTACCCTTCTTTCCTTCTGTCCATTCGGCAATCTTCAACCTATCCGGATCCATGTTCTTCGCAGCTTCTACTTTCCTCATTTGATTTATTGTCTTCGGACTGTCCTTCTCCGCTTTCCTTGAACTGAAGAAATTGTATCCTTGACTACCTAACAGATCCTCAAAGGCATCTCCGCTCGATTTGTTCGTTTTATTGCTTGTTGCACAATTGTCAGCAGCAGCAGCAGCAGTAGCAGCAGCAGCAGCAGCGGTATTACTCTCGCTGGTTGCATTTTTGTGCGTGTTGGGGCTCGTGTGTATCGGCGTGCTAGCTGGAGCAGGACTAGCGGATTGTGGAGTATTGGAGTTTCTCGGTGTCCCATTCCAACTGGACGTTAATCCAGCGCCCAGCGAACTGGCAAGGTTCGCAAACGGATCCTTATTCTGAGCTGCGAAGTTCGGAACGCTCGAATTCCTCGGAAAGTTCTCCTCAGCCGGAGATTTCGCGGTATTCGGTTTAGAACCTTGCATACTTCCTAAAAGATTGTTCGCTGTATTTCCACCGAGTGGATCGAACAAATCGTCGAGGTTCTGCTTGGTAGTGGGCTGGCTCTGGTTGAAGAACAAATCGTTCAAATTATTATTAGTATTATCGTTCCTAGTAGTAGGCTGATCGTGTCCAAAAAGCAGATCATTCTGGACAGGATCGGTAATGGTGGGCACGGTGTTATTCGTTTCTCGCTGAATAAAATCACCGAAGCCTCCCAAGAGATCGCTTTCTTTCTGACTAGAGTTAGAAAATATATCTAATTCCGGGTTTGCTGCTGCAGCCTCTGGAGTATTATTTAAGGTACTGGTGTCTGGCATTCCCAGATTCAACAAATCTGCTTCTTGCAGCTTGCTTTCCTCCTTTGTTTCCTCTTCTTCGTCCTCTACCGATTGTCGAGGCTCTTCTTGCACTACGTTAACATTGCTTTCTGGCGCTTCTACCGCTTGCGAAGCTGCCGCTTCCTTTTGAACCTAATATTTTTGCAACGAGATATTACGAAATTTTTAAACTCTAATTACTGTATAACAAATAATTTTCTATAACTCACCTCTTCTGGTTTAGCAGTTCTGAAGCTCTCCAAAGTTTCTTCCATTTCCAAGGTGGACCCGAATAATGGATCTGGTTCCAATTTCGAGGCTGCTTCCGCTTCCCAAGGAGCTGGAACTCTAGCCATTTTTGGATTCTCCTCGGCTACCACGATATCCAAAATAACACTAAAATTTCCGCCAATTTCAGGCGCGTCGTCGAGATCCTTTTTCTTGAATGTTAAGTCAGATTCACCAAACGGTATGTAACCGGTGTGAAAATGAACAGAGGCAATTTTGATGCCGATCATACGACCCAGCTGCTGTCTGGCGTGGAATATAACCAGTGTAACATCGCCTCTAACGGTGGCATTATTAAGAGCTAGTTGAACCTTTCCCTTCATTATTCCAAACAGTTTCAAATTCTCGTACTCTTGCCGTTTAGTAGAAAATACTAAAGCTCCGTTGCTGTAAATGTCTATATAAGGTCTACAACCATCCTTTGCTCTGGTAAACAGCGGAACGGGTTTAATTACTAACGAACGAAGGGCTAGGGGCTTCGTATGAGGCTGTATACCGGTACTCAGTAAGCTCATATAATTAATGCAACGTAATTCCGAGGGTTGCAACTGAGGAGGCTGCCGTCTTGTTGTAAACATCGCTATAGCTTCTTCGGGGCTGGTGAACGCTCTAGCGTAAATCAATAACGTACACGCGACCGTCGCACTGGCTCTGTATCCATCCTAAAGGAAGGAAACAACGTTAGAAAATCATCACGTCTTTACAATTCGTACGGTAGATAACAAGGTATACTTACGCTACAATATAACACAACAACGTGATTAAAATCGGCATTCAAATACCGATAAATATCCTGACATATTTGGTAGAGGGCTGACAACAGCGGGGCATTAGAATCCGAGGAAGCATAGGCAAACGAACAGTCGATGTGCCTACCAGGAAGCCTGGACACGTTCGGTCGGCCACGAGACAAGTTATACAATTGTATGCGAGCTGGCGGAGGATGTCGAGCTTGTAAAAATGCTCTTACGTCCTCCACGTGGTTAGCTCTGTAAGCAGACTCTATCCCATCCGCCGGATAGGGCATGATTAATATACGTGACGTTAAGTAACTGGCGTCTAACTCAGTTCTGGCCATACTCTGTTGCATAGAGTACATCATTTTGCTTGAAGTGTCCTTTAGGTTCCTTAAAATACTACCAGCACCGCCTTTCAACGAGCTAAATAGGCCTGTCGGTTGAGCTACGGGGATCTTGGCAACGGCAGTTTGAGCCGCCGAAGCAGGCTTTGGGGGAGGTGCGTTCACTGGAGGAGATGGCCTCGGAGGCGGAGTAGGCGTGCTGGGTGGTGGTTGAACAGGTCTGGGAGGTGGTGGGGTCTTCACCGGAACTTCCACTTTCGGGGGTTCTCTGGGATCGAAGTTATTAGATTCGGCTATCGCTGCTAAACGCTCCAGTATCATCGACGTGGTCAATCTTCGCACTGGAGACACTTCAAGGCATCCCTTTACTATGTCGTGCAGACAGGCTAAACGTGGATTAGGCGGAAGCGAAGCGTACTTGCCATTGACTATTGCGAGCTTGTTACCTGCGAATGAAATGAAATTGAATAAGAATAGGTCACGCTGCTGATACGATGCGAATTGAATACCTTCAGGAAATGGATGTCTCAGAGTTATCAGAGAGTATATTATACAGCCAAGCGCCCAACAATCAACCGGAGGACCAATAGGCTCGTTATTCCACGTGTCCATCATCTCTGGTGCTCGATACATGGGTGTGGTGTATTTCGCCATCTGGTCCTCCAAGGTGGCGCGTTTTTGAGCATTCCAAGATGGATTTGGCAAGATTTGCTGATTGGAAGTGCTACCAAAGTCGCAGAGCTTGATCAGACCGTCGCTACCGATTAAAAAATTTTCCAATTTTATGTCCCTGTGTACCAGTGGCTCCGGTTGCTGGCTGTGCATGTGATGCACAGCCCTCGTAGCCTGGTAGCCGATTTTACAGATTTGCGCAAGGGACAACGTGTTGGTCGATAAACTTCTGAGTACGTCTGCGACGGTGCCTCCGGGACATAGTTCCGTTACTAATAAATACTCGTATCCTTTACGATCTTCGCGTTCCAAACGCTGAGCATAGAGATACTGGATTATATTTGGGTGACCAGACAGCCTTTTCAAGACTTCTATTTCTTGAATGATGCTTTTATTGGCATCTTCGTCTACAGCTATGAGCCTCTGAAAGCACAAGTGTAGATTAGAATAATTTCTTTCAACTTGCTTTGGAACAATGCAAACACAGCGATGATCTACCTTAAGTGCATATTCTTTTCCTGTATTTACATCTTCAACTGCAAATACCAAAGCCCAACCACCTGTTAATACAAGTATTTCGATATTGATCAGAATGAATAACTCGAGAAAAAGAATATAGTCTTAAGTTCTTTAAAGGTACATGATGAAGTTTTGGCGTTAAAAATATTAATGCCTCAGTGGTCATGTTTTCCAGGCATCGATATTTCCAAGTGAATCAACAATCATTCACCGTATAAAAATGTCTTACTAGATTTCTCATAAAAATTCACTTCTACATTCGACATAGCAAACTACACTCAGGAGTTACATATTAAATCCTCACAGAATAATACCTGTGAATACTAAATAGACACTTGAACATATACGTTTAACCTAATCGGTTTTCTTTATTAATGTTGATAATGATACAGCAAAATTTTGGCCCATTGACGTCTCGTGTTTGAATGTCAAAACAGACTTGACACATGTCAAGAGTTGGATAACTCACATTGTTGGCACAATGACAACCGCTGTTTTCTATAGTTTGACGACTGTTGCATAGAAAATAAAGTATTTTTCGCTCAGTGATTGAAAAATAACAGTGACATCAGAGTCGATTTCGATCGAGACATAAAATTGTGCGATGAGAGTGAAGTATTCTGTAAGGGGTTGACAGACTCACCCTCGGCAAGTAGTCTGGTCACGCGTAGTTTCACATTGTTGATTTCCAGTATTTGTCCGACGTAATCGTTGGTGTTTCCGGCACCGTTCAAGTATCCCAGAGCAGATCTTAAATAATCCGACATATTTCCTTTAAATTATCCCCGTGGAACCCCCGGAAAGCGTTTCTCGTACGTTACAATGCAGACAGCCGATGCTGTCCGGCCATACTGTCTTCGTGACGTCATCGACAGTGCCGTACCTACAATATTTTCCTACCTTGAGAACAATAACAATCGCCATTACTTTCGTTGATTTTATAACGAATTTTAATCGGTGAATAGACGAATCTTGCGATCATTTGCAAACCATAGGATGTGAATTATACTGGGCTAATTTACAGTGAATAACACGCATGTGATTTAAAGTAAAATTTTAGGAAATGATTCAAGTTGATTTTCATTTCGTGGTTAGGACATTTCTTAACATTTATCGCTTTTAAATATTTCGATTGAATCATTAGGAATTAGTAAATCAGAGTATTATAGAGTAATTATAATATTTTGTAATAAAAAGTAATTATATTTTGTATACTGTAGTGTATTACAAAATATAGTATAAAATATAAAAGTAACATAGTAGTGTAAGTATATTTTATTATATTATAGTATATAGTACTATAGTATATTTTACTATAATATAAATGTAAAAGTAATTATACAAATAATATTTTGTGTATTAAAAAGTAATTATAACATTTCGCACTGCAGCATAGTTTGGCGAGAGAATCGAATGAAATTTATTTCAGGTTGCTTTATTATTATTTTTGAAAGGGGTGCGATCTCTGTCAATCTACAAAAACATGCGCATGCGCACGTGGGAAATTCATGAACTCATGGTCCAAAGCGAGGATTGTCGTATGTTTGTTTTCCCTCCCCCGTTCCATCAATTCTCTCATACGGTATCAGTCATTTGTCGATAGTGTGATAATTCTATATATTTGTTTTTCGAGATAAATTGGCTCAGCGATTGGCCTTGGAATTCGTCTAGAACTCGTAAGTTGTGTTGTTATCATTGTCTGGGTAGCGCGTTATTGCTAAACGATCATTTTTTAGAGGTTTGGAACGATGTCGAAGTTCGTGAAATTTTCGAAATTAAGATCGACCACAGACAGCACCTTTTGGGCGAAGTTCGTCGAGTTGAAGATTGACAGGTTCAAACTTGACGAGAAAAGCATCAGTATATGGGGAAGTTACGGCCTTCAGTCATTGAACGAAGACAACAGCAATCCACTGACATTGGACTTCACATCATTCAATGAGTAAGTTTATACTTATGGTACGATTCGTTATTTTAGTCATTTTACTTTAAATATCTATCGGATTTAATTTCATGCAGGTAATTTTTAGAGACCTGGAAACAGTAGACAATAGTTTGTCAGTTCTTTGCTGTGGACGTATGATTAATACAAACACCTTCGAAGCGTTTCGTCAAATTAATCCTGAGAAGTTTATTGACTCCATGGGAAAAGATGTTATAAACAGCATTCAAGATGGAACAGCATTGCAAAGTCCATGGAAATTGTCGTTATTCTTAGTGTTAGCTTATTCAGATTTAAAGAAGTACAAATTTTATTACTGGGTTGCGCATCCTACTCCATTGAAGTTGCCTGAAATGTACTATGAAGAGTCTCCAAAGTCGATCAATGAGGAATTCAAAGCCAAGCATGTGAAAGATTTATGTCAAGGTTTTTTACAATTAGATAGCAGGACAAAAAATTACTTTACAGTTTTATTATCAGGAGATAAAATGATTATTGTTGACCTAGCAGCAGGAGTAAAAGCAATCAATACAAGCAGTGAAAAACAATCACAGGTATAAAAACATTCATTTTATTTAAGAAAATAATTATAATTTTTTTTATATCTATATTTATTTGCTTATTTTTTCAGGAATGTAATGAAATATATTTTGCATTTTATGATCCATGTGCAACTTCTAATCCAGGCTGGCCTTTACGCAATCTTTTATGTCTTTTATGCTGGCACTGTCCTACATATTATTTTTCAAAAGTTATTAAATTCATATCTATACGAGGGAATAAAACACAGAAAAGTTTAGTTTTCGCACTCAAGAGCAAACAGTATGAAAATTACAAAAATGAGAGGGATTCTGTGTTTTTGAGTAATTTGGTGGGTTGGGAGAGCAATTTAAATGATAAACTGGGTCCTACCATAGTCAATCTGTCAGATACGATGGATCCAACCAAGTAATTATTTAAAAATGAATTGGACACTAACACGCAATAAGCATAAGTATTTCAAATATCTCAATGGCATTTTTATCTTCTATTAGATTGTCAGACAGAGCTGTTACCCTAAACTTGAAGTTAATGAAGTGGCGTCTTGTTCCTGACTTAGATTTAGAAAAGATCTATAACCTTAAGTGTCTTTTATTGGGCGCTGGAACCTTAGGTTGTGCAGTAGCGAGAATTCTTCTAGGCTGGGGAGTGAATAACATAACTTTTGTTGACAACTCTAACGTGTCTCACAGCAATACAGTGCGACAAAGTTTGTACAGTCATCAGGATGCTGTAAAGCATAAGCACAAAGCTTATGCAGCTAAGGATGCTGTGTTAAACATCCGACCGAGCATAGTGAGTAGTAAAAAAGACTTGACTGTATTGACGTTTTGTTAAATTAATTTTACTAATAACATAGAATGCAGAAGGTGTAATTTTACACATTCCAATGCCTGGGCATGTTGTTGGTGAGAGCATGTTGGAGTCTACGAAGAAGTCCCTAGAAAAACTGGAGGAACTTGTCGAAAATAGTGACGTTGTTTTTCTTCTATTGGATTCTCGAGAGGCCAGGTGGCTACCTACAGTCCTCTGTGCTGCTAAAAACAAGATAGCCATCAATGCTGCTTTAGGTTTTGATTCTTACACGGTACAGAGGCACGGCACTCGAAATTTCACTAATCCGATTTCGCCAGACTTGGAAACTAGGAATCCCCGCGGTATGGACCTCGGTTGCTATTTTTGCAATGATGTAACGCAGCCTGGAAATGTAAGTCTATTGTAAAATTCTTACAATCTTTATTTTTTTTTTTTTTTTTTTTTTTT